CAGAATAGATATTTCAAGCAGCCAAACCAGTAGTCACATAATAGGCCATTCATTTCACAGAAACATTGGCAACTCAAGGAAACAGAGCACTAATGCAGAGAGAGAAATTGTAAACAGATTTATCCGTATATGTGAAGTCACATGATCAGAACATTATTAAAATGCCACTCATTCAAGTCACACTCAATGTGATTTTGCATTATGTCTACCACACCATAGACCAGTAAAAAAATTTAAGTGAAGTATAAGATGCTTACTATTTTGTCCTCCGGAGAATTTCTTGTAGTCTTTGAAATATGAAAATCAATCGCATGCGTCCCAAATCCAGGCTACAACACACACACACACACACACACACAAAAAAAAAAAAAAAAAAAAAAAAAAAAACAAACAAACAAACAAAAAGACATCAGCTGTAACATTTTTCAGCAGCTGAAGATATAAAAGAAAAGGGGAAAGAAATCACCTTGACTTCAAGAGAAACAAGTATCTGACCCATCTTCATTAGTGGATAGAACCTGCAAGAGAAAGAGGAGAGAGATATTTCAAATATTATCTCACGACATTCCAAGCTAGAAAATTAAAGTAAGACCATCTTGACAGATTTCAGTTGTGATTCCCCCTCAACCAACCCAACAATTCAATTGGCACAGCAACTACAGCTCTCATTTGGTGGCTGCAACCATGGCCACGTCTTGACAAATATATGGTGGCAATCTGGTCATGAACAGAAGCAAATATGCCATCTCTATTACTTTTATTCTAAACTTCCTAGTTGCATAAAGGATGTCAAAATTTGAAGTTCTGATTCCTGTCAATCATTCTCCTTCGCATTTTATTTTTGCACATGAAATTCTCATTTATTTTTGCAAGTTAACAAGCAGAAAAATGTGGGCAAGAAAAAGATAATATAGGATCAACCATAAATAATGAGAGCTCGTAAAATGTTAAACACCTTCATGAAAATCTTGGGAAGTCATATCATCTGGTGTTTGATCTCATAAAAAATGTTAAAAACATCAAATAAAAAATCATTGTGCAGATATTACTTGTAAAAATGGAATTGAAAATCTCAGTATATGATGGTCATAAAAAAATATATAGAGGCATAACAAGACCTTTTACCTGGACAAGATTGTTGGGATAATGAAAAGAGATTCACTTGTTCCAGCATTAACATCTCCAGGAGTGCAAAAGACTTTCCCTATCTGAAAATATGCAGTGAAATATGATGATTAGCAACATATAAGTAAAAAACATATCATATATTACACACTCCAGAGGGAAAAAAATATAGTAAACCTCGTTGGCAAGAGTAAAAAGTTCTCGAGTCTCTTTCTCATTAAACCATCCAACCTTGCAAGCATTCTAGCATGTGATGACAGAGACAGTGAGAATGTATGATGGAAAAGATCACATGAACATCAGTACACATATATTGGAAGACTATAACTACACAATGCTTACATCTCAGAGAACCTTTCAAAACAGAAGAGAGAGAAATGATCAAACATAAGAATTTGTTAGCTGAAAAAATACTCTTAGCATGTGCATTCCGTTGAAGAATCAAGAAGATGGCACAAAAATGAACAAGCAGTGTAACTGAAGACACAGGGAATCAAAGGGGAATTAGACAAGAAAAGGCACGTGGGCCACATTTTAGTGTTCCACAAAAGAATTCTCATCTGACACCCCAAGCAATAGAGCTTGGGTGATGATCAATTGAACCCATCCAACCATTTTTCTCATATAATGAAGAAAACCGCATATAATAAAAGTCCAGTTCTCCAGCCCAAAGCAACAGAAGATGAGAAACATGAGGGGAAATGCTTTAAACAACCAACAGAAATAATGCAGAGATACCTTAACAGAAGCCATAAGGACCATGATAGCTGCTTGCAAGAAGACATCACTTTTACGTTGACAAACCTGCATAACAGAGGAGAACAGATATAAGATGCTACTTTTTTCCAGAGCAGATTTTTTGAAAGCTAAGAGTAGAATAATTTATTGATAAAGAGGGAGTGGATACAACATGAGAAGTAAGTTGTCCTCCCAGAAAAGGAAAAAGAATTAAGATAACACGTTTTGCCAGTCCAGCTGAATATTATCTATGAAAACTCCTCAAAAAGACCCAGAAATACTCCATAAGGATAGCAAACAAATTATTCTCTGTCATAGCAGTAGCACAAGGAACAATACCATTCCACTCCATCCACTTGCCCCCAATAACTACAAATAAAATGCAATTCCACAAACCCTTGCAATTTTCACCTCTCGCAAAACCAGAAAAATTCACCAGAAAGAACTCTATAATGTTAGGCACTACAAGACACCCAAAAAATGGCAAAAGAACTAAAATCCAAAATGTCAAACGCTAATAAAAAAGGTAAAAGAGTCAAGACATTTCCTTTTATTATGAAGATATGCATGTGCAAAAGTATGAATGAAGATTACTTCAGCTCAAAAGTAACACAGATTACAGTAATACCTGACCCACATTCTAATAACTATCCTATCTACACATATCAATTAGGCCAATGTGGATTATATTGAGGAAAAATTCAGCATAACAGCTGCCCTATCAAAATTTCCAAGGAGCTTGACACACTTATGGGTGCGGTCCATTTGTAAATAGCAGATTGTTGCACTATCACCCAAACGATTGACTTATCCAATTGATATCATAATACATCACAATACCTTTCATGCAATATGGAAACGTGTCAATAAACAATTCCACATTCTGTGCAAAGTTGAGTCCAAACACTCCCCCAACCTCCTCACCTTCCCACATATTGTCTTGGACTGAGTTTTTCTACCAAATTAAAAGTAAAAGAGTCAAGGAATCTACTGTTATTATGAAGATACACTACCTAATATCAACACTCCATTTGCCGCTGAACACCAGTTACTCGCAGGCCAAGCAACAAAGAGAAGCAAAAATGTGAACACTAAAAGAATATGAAGCAACTCACTTGTTTCAATAAAAACGGTAACTCTTGAGCTTTCAGCAGAGTCTCATTATTCGCAACAGCAAAATCAATCCCTCTGTAATCTCCCAAAAAAAAAACAAAAACAAACAAACAAACCTAATCAATACCAGCAAGTACGACCAAAAAAAATAAACAATATAGGCAAAATTAATAAAATAAATTTGAAAAATGGTCGCTATTTCACCGGAGCAGATGAACACTTGTAATGTTAAATTTCAAACCCTAACTAACTAAACAAGCCAAAATTAACGCCAAAATTAAAAGAGAAAATCAAATAAAAGCCTAAAAAATTCAACTTTTCTTGTAGCTAATAATGAGTAGATAAGTTTACCTAGCGAGAGAGAGGCAAAGGCCAAAGAACTCCGTAGGATTACTTTCAAATCCAGGTTGTACATGCAAAGATAATCGCTCCGCTACGGCATGGACTCTATACGAGTTCGCTGCCGATATCTGCTGCCCTGCCGCTGTTGGTGCCGCTCCCATCGTCACCCCCGCCGCTGATGGTGGTGGCGGCATCAACGTTCCGGCCATCATTCCGGCCATTCTATCTCGCGCACGCGCGCTCGCAGTATCTTTCTCCGCGGGAGACTACGGTTTACTGTTGTGGAGGGACTTTTTTTTTTAATAGAGCAGTAAAAGCGTTTTTATCTGCAAAAAATGTTTTCGAGGTCAAGGAGGCGTGGTCCTTTCGGGTTTTTGAATCGGGATTAGAGGACAGGCTTGTTTTTCATGTTAATTACGACCGTGCTTGTCAGAGTAAGGTTGTAAATAACGGGATGGTTGTGTCGATTTTGAGAAGAGAGAGTCGGTGACGGGGGCAGACTTTTGATGGTTGAACTGCTACGAAATATCAAATTGACAAAACAAGTCACGAAATTTAATTTATTGAAAAATCAATCCTTAAATTTCTAATTTCAAAGTTAATTTTCTGAACTTTTTTTTTAAAAAAAGATTTGGTCATTTTATGATTTTAGTTATCATTTTCCGTTCTAAAAAATTTTGAAGATTTTTAAATAGATCTTACTAAATAATTTTCATAAAAAACCTGTTTAAGTGATCATTATTTTTAATAAAAAAATAATAGATAGATTAAATATCAAAAAATAAATAAAAGTCAAAAAAAGTCAAATTCAAAATTAAGAATTTAGAAACTAATTTTTAAATAGATAAAATTTTAAGAAAGATTTGATCCATTTAGCCCTTACAAAGATTATAAAAATCAAGTAAAGTTAGTTTATTGTCACCAAATGCAAAAATATTATGTGATAGATTATTAATTAATCTCTTTATTTTAATTTTTTTTATGAATGAAAAAGTAAATAAATTAATCTTTTCATTGTATTTTCCTTTCTTTTTTTTTAAGAGTTAGGATGGTAAGTATTTTTTTTTATTGTTTTAATAGATAAAATATTATGTCTTTTCCATACAATCATTTTTTTATTTGAAAATATCCTTGCATTTATGTTTGAGTTAAAGTTTAAGATTTTTTTGAAAATAGTTACCATTATATATGAAAATATAGATACACCACAAAATACAAGATGTTGTAGATGAGATTGAAATTTCAAATAATCATTTTATGAGTAACTTATTAAAAAAAAAAAAAAAAACTAAAAGAACTAAATGTGTAATTGTTTAGTTACTGTCGCTGCACGCTCAGTTATCTTATTCATGCCTTTTCTCTGATTTGTTTTTTCCTTTACTGCGGCGTGTGGATGTTCCTTTGACTTCAGCCCTAGCTTTGTCATTAGTTTCTATGTTGCCATTGATATAATTTGTTGATTTACTTATTTACCCTTAACACATCTTTTTCTTTTTGTTTGTTGCTTCAGCTGGGTTTCTCCTTTCTTTCAACGTAGCTCTCTCTTTTGTTTCTTTGTTTTCTACCCTTTAGCTGGGTTTTTGGACATTTCATTGAGTTAGGATGATAAGGCAATATTAAGAGATAGGGTTATGTTTTCTACCCTTCTAATATTAGTGAGTTCATGCGTATGTTTTCTGGGCATGACTCTATCTTCCAGAAAGTTTAGATTCCATGTGTTAGCTCCTCAGGTTTTGCAAAGTGGAATTCCCAATTCACATGAGATTGTATTGAAAAATATGGTTGTTGCATTGGATCGTATATTCTTGGATGTCGAGGTGATTTGGACTTCATATATCCACCATCAAGATGTTTTTTTGTCAGAATTGTTGATGTATATGAACCTCTTATTTGAAATGCACAGTAATTTTTCAGGACCCTTTTGTCTTCTCATCTTATCACAAAGCTTTGAGAAAGCCATTTGATTGCTATGACTTTGGTCAAAAGTATATCCGTCTATTGATTGATTTTAGGTGAGTACACAACTATATTTTCCCTCTTTCATCGTCTTAATAGTACACATTAATTTGGTCTACATAAAGCCTCTTGAAAATTTGAGACAGACACACACAAATATGCCCCTGTCTTCTTCATTTGATGCTCCAACGATAGCTCTATATCTGGCCTTTCTGTAGTGATGTTGGAGATGATTGCGGCATTGTAGTTTTTGGATATCTCACTGGTTCAGATTTTTGTTCTTTTTCTTATTAAGAAATACACATAAGTGGAGCCAACTCATAAACTTAAGCAAAGTGGTATCAAGAGGTGATGTGTGAATTATAATTATTCTACTGCAGTCTCATTTACTCAGATTAAACCTTATGTTTCTCCCTTCTGCTCTACCTTTGACCTTTGTTTATTGCAGAAATTCATATGTAGGCAGTGTTTCCATTTTCAATGGAATTGAAGAGAAGCTTCGGCAGGTGCCTATATATATATATATATTTGTTGTAATTTTCTAGCTATAAACTTTAGTGAATTTTGTTCAATTGCTGTTACTCAGTAATTTTGGATTGGTTTTACACTTCCTTTTCTCCTTCTAAAAACATTTTTAAGCTTTGCTTTTTTCTGTTGATCATACATTAATGGTTGAATTGTTTGATGAATTGCTTAGTTCAATTTTATATTCTCTCTTTTTTTCTTTTTTTTTTAAGTATGTTTTTAGTAACAATTGCCATGTTCTTTTTAATAGCAGATTATATAGGTTTTATGTTGGATTTTGTTACTAAAATGATGGCATGGTTGCTCATTGAACTTTTGTATACACTCAAAACTCCTGTTTATTTACGTTTGTTGATTTCCTCAACTTCAATATCATCCTCATTTTGACTTCATATTTTTTACAATTACAGGTAATGAATGTTAAATTTTACCTATCATTTTAGTTGCTCAAAAAATACTCTATATGTTTTGTGTTTGTTCTTCTCTAAAATTCTTTTTCATTAAATATGTTAAAATTTCCTTCTGCTTTGCAATGATGGCAGATAGGAAAATGAAGGCTGCTTTAGCAGCTTTTGATACAACTGTTGATTGCAGTATGACTTTCTTTGATATTGCTGAAGTTTATGGATCTAAGGTGAGAAATGGATATTATTTTCAATCTCTTCTCCCTAAACAACAATGGAAAAGTAACATACATTTGATGGTTCTTATTTGGTGCCATAAATTCCAAAACTCTTCTAGAAGGTAGAATATTTAAATTGAGTTACAGTGTCCATCTACTATAACATTTAGTTTATTTTATTTATCATGTGAACTTCATTGGTTCGCTTAAAGATTTGTGAAGGAAAGAAAAGTAAAGCATCTTGAAATGGAGGTAGCTGTTACAACCAAGTATGCAGCTTTGCCATGGAGGCTTGGAAGTCAAAGTGCTCTAAACTGCCTTAAAGATTCCCTCAGCCATCTTGAACTCTCTTCAGTAGAGCTATATCAACTAAATTGGTATGGACTTTTCCAGGTTATGTGATTTCGGTCTGCAACTTTTTTGACAAAACATTGCGCTCATAAAATTTTTGTGCTGGTTTACAGGCTTTGAATATGCGGAAATAAAGATGGTTCATTTTTACATTATTGTTTCATTCATCACTCGACTGCATTTAGCTAAAGACACTCAGGTTTAACTCAACCAAGTGTAACAAATGAGATTGCCAGTGGATGTGGCACTGTTGGTGGTGGTTTCAGTGGTTGGGGTTTGGTGGTAGTGCAGTGGCTCTGTTTGACATTTGCTCAACCAGGCTAGACGATTTTCAACTTCTACAAAGACCAAAATACTTAGAATCTTACAAATTCTTAAAGCAAACTAGTATATGAATTCTAAGCTAAACAGTCTACATAAAATGGGAAGTTTGGCAAGGCATAATGAAATTTTGAAAATTTGGCTTTCTTGAATGTTGCAAAAGAAAAAAATGCCTTAAAGCTTGGTCCCAAATTCTAATATTAAACACCATTCAATATTCAAAATCAAAATTCAATCTCTATTTAAAAAAAGAAGTGATACGGTCAATTGAGAACGAAGTTAGAAACTCAAATAATTATTAAAAGTGAGATTTCATAAATATAATCTATGATCTTGAAACTTGATAGTCCCTTTAAAGTTTGATTATCAAACTGAATTAATTATTTTTTGTAAAGCAGTTGAAAGAACCAAATCTAAGTCGTGTTTTCAACAATTTTAACAACCAAAATTATTTTTTTTCCACCCTCATTCAAGGGCCACGTTGACTTCCCTTAAAATCCATTTCTTAGCTATTTAGCAGGCAACGAATACGCTAAGAGAGTATTCCATAATATTTCTAAAAGATGTCAAAAAAATTCATTTTAAGTTTTTAGATACCATAAAAAAAAATTACCACGCCATCATTTTCATCTCATTGTCATTCAAGCTAGCTCACTAACAAGGGTCTAATTGAAGTTGTAAACTCTGGCCAGTCCCACAAAAAAATTTGGATGTTGTTTCTTTCTCATTAACTTGCCAATAAAACCATGCAACCATTTGTTAGACCACAAAAAAATAAATAAATAAATAAATAAACAAATAAGCTGCATTAGTGCATGCATGTCATAGATGCACGAGCTCAGATTTTTTTTTCAGTCCCTTAACAACAAAATTGTCTCTGCATAAAAAAACAAGACGTCAACTTTTGAAAATAATCGATATTCCTGTTCGATATTTATATCAATTAAAGATTGCAAAATCCATAGGCTACCAAGATATGGTGTGTGAAATATCGGCTGTTTTATTTAAAAAGGGCTTTTGGAACAAATCACTAGTGTACTTGCCTATTGATAAAATTTACAATTGCTCGTCAGATACAAAAATCGAATTAGTTACTTTATTTCTCTTAACACAAACTTCATGAAACATTAACCTCCACTGTGAACAATGCCACATTGCTGGTTGCGTAGCACGGATAATTAACTCGCGTACAACTACACCAATTTCTTGTTAGCAAGTTGATTTGTTATGCTAGCAAGTATCAAATTATATAATTAAAAATTTCACAAATACACCATATTTAATACTAAAATCATAAAACTTAAAGAGGAGTTTACTTACGGTTACACAAATCCATTTGTTTAGAAGTAAGTTTATTTTCCTAACAAGTATCAACTTATCCAATTAAAAATTTTGCAAATGCGTTGTGTTTCATACTAAAATAATAAAAGAATCTAGTTTTAATTGTGAAAACTAACTTAAAAACACAAGAACCATTAACATATAAAAAATAATTAAAATATTTACGAGTCAGGATGCATTTTATTCAAAGGCTATTGAAAGCGGATTCATTGTACAAAAGTTACATAGAAAAAACTATGCAAGAGTTACACCTATTATATTTCAGATTTAAGAAATTACTTGGAAGCAATTTTTAAAATTTTAAACACGAGTAAGTTAAATGACGATATGAAACTTACATACTACAATAACATTCAAGATTTTTTTATGCGAATGACATTCATAATATAATTGATGTGTTTTATGAAAAAATATTTCTGACATTGAAACATGATTCAAAAGTTATTTTTTATAACCAACTCGTGACAAGAATAATTTAGATAGAAAAACTGTGTAAAAGTTACACAATATATTTCAAAGTTAAAAAATTAAACAGAAGCGATTTGAAAATTTAAAACACAAATGAGGTAAATGACGATATATATAGAACTTACTACAATAACATTTAAGAATTTTGATCCTAGTGACGTTCATAATAGGGTGTGATTTACGTTGAAGTTACTTTTGATGTTGAATTATGATTCAAAATTTATTTTTTACAATTAACTCGACAAGAATAATTTAGAATTAATTATGCATTTATCAAAAATTAATCCAAAGCAATTCTTTTTGGCAAATGAAGATGATGCAAGTCAGGTCAATATGTTATATTCTCTTATGCCAGCATTCAAGGAAATATATTAAATTCTCTAAATACACTCAAGTTGATGTGGAGGATGCATCATTAAAATTGTTCAAAAATGAGATTTAATCTTAATTGATCAGCAAATTAGTTCAAGAATATTACTTACTGTCGGAAAAAAACAAATGTTAGAAGGATAGTGAATCAGATTTTGGTAAAATTTGGACTCAAATTGAAATGAATTTTTCTATTCAAGTCAAAAGGCTTTCTTTTTGAAAATCTAAGAAGTTATGTAAAATCAAATAGTTGAAGCCCACACCAAAAAAACAGTTCCCTTGTGCAGTAACAAAATCGTTTAATATGTAAAGCCGGAGCCGAAGATTTCGTGAATTTGCTCCGGGCAAATGAAATAACGAGTGAACTATTGCAAAATATTTATTTAAAGCAATGGGTGCCTTCACTGCGCAAGATTTGTTGATGCAATTGCTAGTATGAATGCTGCTGCACCCATTCAGTTGTATAAATTTTCAAACACAATTCACTTTTTAAAAACCCAATAATCCTTTCACAAAACAATACAAGAAATGCGGTGATTCAAAAGGCTACCACAAACGCTAAACACATCTCGTTAAACTCACTATTCTTCAATAAAATTAAGAGAAAGCCCCAGGAAGGAGAAGTAACGAGAAAGAAGTACGGAACATCCAGTGCCAAAGCCCAAAATCAACAAATGGATCAGTCACCAGAGCCTTTATTTATTTATTTTTTTTTCTTTGGTTCTCAGTCTATAGTCCTCCTATCCCAAAATAAAAAACTTAGATCCAATTATCGAGCAACAAGCAAATCACAAACATGCTTTTTGAGGTCTCGTGCCTTGGTTCAATATCGGAAGCATTAAATAGGGGAGTTAAAAACTCAATCATGCAATCCATTCATGCATAAACGGCACTACCTTTTGAATTGAAGTGTTCTGCTCCAATTGTAAGCAACTGAAAAGGAAGTACTGCCATGAGTCGGAATTGTAAACCTACACGAATTGCAATTCAAAATTAAAGTATTGCCATGAGTCGGAAGTTTCATTTTCCATCAATTAAAACATAACTTTATTTCACCGAGAACAGGTGCATCAACTCCTTTAACAAGGTTCAATAGCATAACGTCTCAACATTCATCTTTTGCATGGGCGCCTAGGGTTCCTTCAGAAGGGGCAGGAACTTTATGCCTTCACATTTATCTTTTGCGCCAACGGCAGACTCAAAATGTGCTGTGATCATGCTAACCAAAAGACAGTGATTCTGCCCAGAATGACTTGCACAAAACAGAGCAAACCAACCCATTTGCTATATTCCACTTCAGACTTTTAATGCTGCACAAATCAATCAACTCTTACCCTGAAAACGAAATGGGGGTGTTAAAACCCATTAAGCTTCGTGAAAATCTAAAAAAAACGTTCACAGCAGTTGCAACGAGGTTTTGGGCTAAAAAATTTCATTGTCTCCCTACATTGCTTAAAAGAAAATTCAGTGGAAACAAAAAATGTGGACAAGTCAGGCCCATAGCACAAGGATAGACATATGACACTAAAAGATGGTTAAAAATTTCGTTTAACATGAGAAGTAAAGGAGTTAGTTAATATAGGGCCATGGCAATTGTGCCCACATTAATTGTTCTGCCACTTTTGCCAGATAGTCAGAAGAATGATTTACATCAATCCTAAAGAGGAACAAAAGTCCAGGGTCAAACCACCCTTTCAGTTATGCATTATACATTATAGGTGAATCCCCATGTTGAAATCTGTAATGATAAATACCCCAAAAGATATTCTAGTTTGCATATCATATCTTTTGATAACAATTCCACCCTTGTTTTCTTTCTTCCTATTTTTGTTGGGCAGGGGAGAGAGGGTGGCTCAGATAAGATTTGCAAGAATTTAGCCTATGACAAGCATATGACCTTAATAGCCCGACCAGGATTCAACCTTATTTAAGTCTTGGTCATAAGTCAGAACAGTACTTGTTCAAAAAAAGAATGCAAAGACAGGTGTGACTAAACTCACATACCTTATGAGGTGGAGTTCCTGGTCTCAACATGTGGTTGCCAAATCCAACTTTTCCTTTCTTCTCAGAAGCTCTGAGGATTTGAAAGGAACAAGTCAAAGTATCATCAACACTCATCATGGCACCAGCATTATCAAACTCACCACAGTAGTTTGGTGCAGAGAATATTGTGACCAGCTGCCGCTTTGCAAAAAACTCATAACCATCTTCGACAACCTATTGATCACACTCATATCCCCACAAAGTGAATAGACATTAATTAAGCACTTCATGATGCTAACACAAGGATTTCCATGCCATGGCTCATAACAAATAAGAAAATCCAAAGAAACACTCAACGAGCAAACTAGCAGGACAATAATGATGAAGACCCATTTTTTTTTTTTTTTATCAAGACCAAATACATGAAAGAAGCAAGAAAAAAGGAAACCTTAAAGTTAAACTCTACAAATATAACATATTTTTGCACAAGAACAGTAAAACTTATGCCCTGCAGAGCCAAGTGCTCTTTCATACAGCTAGAAATCAATGGCATGAGGAGAATAGGGAATGAAATACAAATATTACTAAGTGAACCAATAGGGTATACCCTGCATGCATAAATGAGGCACACTGGCATAAACACACACAATTGATAACGATGTGATCAATTGCATCTATTCTCCTTCATAGGTTCTCCAGGCAGTTTCACATGCAGAGTTCTGAGATATAAATTTAGAAAGTCATTCACATGTCTGCAGCTTTTATTAAAATGGTGGATGATAAAAGTAATTTTTGTATATAGTCCACTGAAAAGATAACACAAAGGGAAGTTGGATCAAGAAAGTTTCAGGCTTTCAGCACATATGCACCAATGCAAAAGTACAAGGGTTAGCTTAAGTAACATTACCTGATGGGCTCGGCAGACAAGATCAAGGTCATGTTTCTGAAGGAATTCAACAACCTTGTCAGCCCCAAATGTATATGACACACCCCTGTCATTCTCACCCCAGCCTTCCATATCTTTATCAGGGTCAGCCCACAATAGATCACATAAAAGACCATGATCCGGCACATCAATAGGGCGCACAATATTCCTGATCTGATCTAAGTTCTTCAACTCAGGAGATAATCCACCATGCATGCAAAGGATCTTTTCATCTATGAGGGCGGCCACAGGCAGACAATTAAAGCATTCAGTAAACGTCTTCCAGACACGAACATTAAACCTCCTCTTGCACTCATCATAAAACCCATAAATACGGTTGATGGAAGCACTTTCATGGTTGCCCCTAAGAAGGAAGAAGTTCTCCTTGTATTTGATCTTGTATGCAAGGAGAAGGCATATTGTCTCTATGCTCTGTTTGCCACGATCAACATAGTCCCCTAGGAATAAATAATTTGCCTCAGGTGGGTAACCACCATACTCAAACAGTCGTAGAAGATCTGAAAACTGGCCATGAACATCACCTGCCAGACCAATTGTTAATGTATAGAAAGCCTATAAATATTTGACTGCAGCATTAGGTGACAGATCAATGAAACGAAACACAACAATATAGAAGATAATCTAAAGCCAAGTTTGGTATGAAATCATAACTTTCTAAATCTCTCTAGTCTATTACGCCATCACCAATACAATAACAATAATGGCAATGAAACCAATAATAATAATAATAATACTGGCAAATAAGGCATGATAAAAAGAGTTCCCTCCAAAGTTCATTTATGCCGGTAGGCATTGGAGACATAGTGATAAAACCACGAGCTCTACCTCCCTACCAAATAATAGCTTCTTATATGAAAAACTATATCGATTGTAACCATAGGAAACAAGATTCAATGTTGAACGACCATGGAGCAATTTAGTCACTAGAACCAGTGGCCAAAATATAATAACCAACCACCATTGATTTGCCAAACCACCCATGGAATTATTTCAAGATTAACATGGTTGATTATCCATCCTTAAGCAGAATTCAAGCTGGGAATCTGAAAGGAAAAATTTATTTTGCTTGACGAATATCAATGAAATCAAATCATTCTCCATTTTATTCCTCTTAAGGAAAACTTTTAAGATTTTAACAAATACGTTACTAAAAGGTCGAAGTCAAATCATGCACAAGAAGAGGACATTAATTGATACATTCAAAAAGAGAAGGCATTAGATTACCATCTTGAGGCAGCATTGTTTAAATAAAAGATTTGTAAACCTCTTGTACTTAGAAGTCATGTGATCATAGAGCAGTAGAAATATGGAGATTCTAGAACCACCAAAATTTGAAATGCCAACTCATACCACACTTCTCATCTACCTCTTCCTATAAAACTAAGAGCTTGTGCTGCAGTAGGAAAAGGGAATCGTGGGCAATTTCAGCTTTATTAGAATACTAATGGTCTGAAGGAAGCAGCAAGCTCAAAGCTACAGTAGCAAGATTTTAATAAACAACAATGTCAATAATAAAAAGACTTGTTGGAAAAAGGCAAGAAGTGGCCAAACCTAATTCTTGACCTTTACTCAGACAAACTGATCCAATAAATAGCATTTATTTTACCTTACACGCATTGAACAAAACAAAAAAGTACTCCTTTCCAAGGGCAACGCTAGCACCACCTCCCACATCCCCAAAACAGGGGAAAAAAAAGTTTAGAAGGTTCCTGCTCAAAGCTCGCATGCATTGCCATGGTTATACAGTCCCCATAGACCTAAAATAGGCAAAGCGATGAGTTTTCCATGATCCGAGTCAATGCTCACAAGTATGCAATTCCTTACAGTTAGTACCCAAATAAATGTAAGAACAACACTATCCTTTCCTAAAAGAAGTGCTATTAACTCAAATCAATCCATGCACCTACTAAAAGCCCACATCGGCAACGTATCACAATATCTCAAAAAATTCCAAGGCAGAGCAGGCCAACTTACAAACACCGAGTCCTTTACAAATTTTTTCCCTTCTTGCCAATCATAACAGATATCTCACAACATCATAAATCCAATGAGAGGGGGCAACCACCACCTAAGTCATTCATTCAATTCCAGTAGTTTTTGCACTGTGGTAAAGTAAAACCCTCTACTTACATTGATTACATGCGTACCAATCACATTAAGAATTGTACAAAAAGCAACTCATTCACACCGTTACTATCCTAACTACCATACTCTCTAATGATTCGGTGCTGCAACTTCCATTCAATTAATACATACTAACTCCGCCGATACTCACTCAATTTTTCGTCATCCAAATAGTCAGCTTAAAAAGAAACATAAAGCCAGTAGTCATCTCAAAACTACACAGTATATTCAATGATGTATAAAACATTTCCTATTGCCTTCTCTTGTCTTACTTTCTTAACTTATATCTGCACAAACTACTGCATGAAAAGAATCAAAATTCGGATCTCTGCACCTCCTTCTATCATCCATGAGGAGGGGAAAAAAAAAAACAATTATTCGCTTGCTGACTTTCGCAGCTAATTTTTTACAAATGTGAAAATTCCACTCTCTATTCCTCAACAAATAAGCTCTAAAACTACTTCTCGAATTTCACATAAATAAGTTCAAATTCAGGATATATTAAACCAAAAAAAAAAAATCAAAAACTGAAAAAAGAACAAAAAGAATAACAGAATTTGCCATTTCTTTACCACAAATCTTAATAGGAGCTTCAAGCTCGAGAAGATTTGGCTGACTAAGAAAAACCTCCTTAGAAGCCAAACAAAGCTGCTTGATTTCCGCCTCAGTTAACTGAACTTGCTTCGTCGTCCTCCCACTCTTCGCTTCCACTAACCGCCGTATTATATCGTCAAGTAAACTCCCATCCATTAAACCAAACCCTAGCAAAAAAGAAAAACCCTAACAACAGCAACTACAAGAACAACGCTCTCTCTCAATAGATAATTCTCTTTGCTTTACTTAAAGTAGCAGACAGAGATTGCGGCGTTAAAACTGACGGCGGGATATGTCAGATTCTGGCAGCGTAGAGTCAATGGGTGAGATTAGTGGCGGCTATTTTCCCGCTTGGTATTGACAGACGGGGTTAAAACAAAGAGGATATTTTGTATGGTGGGTGAGAGGACCCTTGTGAAGGAGAGAGATAGAGAGACAAAGGAGCCCTAGAAAAGTTGAAAATATGTGGTCTAATAATTCAGTTACGTTGAAGCTTATAGTTCCAAAAAAAGCGATTAAGTCCTTGTAATTTTTGAGTTGTTATAAATTTAGTCCGTCCTTCCAATTCTATTGAAAAATTGTGTAAAAGAATTATAAAAATTAGCTCGAAAAGTACACATGGAACGCATTGATTGGCTGAAATTTGGTCTCATGGGCCAAATTTGATCGTTGACAATTAAGTTTTACGAAAATTTGTAACAACATTGAAAAATTGGATGAAAGAAATAACCATGCCTTAAAAATTCAAATCTCAATTATATAGTTGATTTTCTTTTTGTGACTTGTAACATTTGTTGCTTTTATTTTCAATTCAATTAGATAATTCGATCCTTTCATGTTTTAAGGTTCAAATCTCATTGTTAGTTTTGAATTTAATAGTTTTGAGATTGAAATCTTCTTATATTTTTATCATATTTAAATCTAAATTATTCAATTAAGGCTCAAATCTCATTGTTAGTTTTTTATCGATCATTGGCCTCCACCACTTCTTGAGTTAAATCGGCACCAAAATATGTTTAGTTTTTTATCGACCACCGCATTCCACCACTTGTTGAGTGAAGTCGGCGCCAAAACACGTTTAATTTTTTATCGACCACCAAGTTCCACCACTTCGAGGTAAACCAGTACTAGAATACATTTAATTTTTTATCGACTACCGAGGCTCCATCACTTATTGAGCTAAGTTGGTGCCAAAACACGTTTAATATTTGGTCAACAACTAGGCACTTTCTCAAATCAAATCAGCTCAAACTTGGTATCACTAAGAAATAATTATGACTAATTATTCATAAATAGTGAAATTAAACTTTGTTCTTCACCAAACTAAGACAACTTCCTTACCGCTAGACCACATCCCATGGTATGTTTCAAATATTATTAGAAGTCTAGTTAATATGTACATACATATGTTGTTTTGTGTTTAAATATGTATTATAATATATGAATTTTTTTATTTTTCAATTAAAGATAACCAAGTTAATCGAAAGCTAACTTAACTAAATTAACGATTTTGTAACAATACTACACTAAAAATAGAATTTTGATCGAATTGAGCCAAATTAATTGAATCAAACAGATTGTGTTAATGACTATCCTCGTGTTCTACACTCTTTTTACATATGATAATTTTTCAAAACAATGTTAGTACATTTTGGTATTTCGCTAGTTTGCTTAAGTTTTGCATATGCATTGATAAATGGTAGTTTCTATGTAAAAGATAAAATTGTATCACTTGGCTTTTTGATATCATGGTCGTCTTTTAGGGTTTTTTTTTCGAGTGCTTTTTATAAAATTTCAACAATTATTTCATATCAACAAACTATCCAATGGCTTCATGTATGTTGTTTTTTATGGGTGCTTTCAATTTTCATGTTGATGTTTTTTTCTTTCTTCTATTAGGTTGTCTTTTATGTTTTGCATGGTTACGGAGCTAAACACTCTTCATGTATTTCTTGAAGGAAGTTTACACTCGTAGCATCTTGTATGTTTAGTATTCTTAATTTTTTCAATATGTTTTATTTTGAGATTCAAATATAGACTTAAGACTTTTAGTGTTATACACACACACTTAGGAGGCTTAACGGCCTCGGACTATATAATTTGTGGTGGATCCAATATTTCTAACCACTATGGTTAAACTATAGAGCATGAATAACAAAAAAAAAATAGAAAAAAAGATATGTAAAGAAAATCAAATTAGAGCCAAATCCTCTACTTCAATCTAAATAAAGACTTCAAATCCACTCCAATACCATAGACAATTATAAATACAACAATCAAAGTTTAAAACAAACGTACAAGTGAAAAAACCAATAAAGTTCTGGACTAATGATAGTGAACTTCTTAAATTTATAAGGTTCAAATTCTTTACTTAAAGTGTTTAAGATTAAAAAAATATATATATATCACAAAAAAGGGGTAGGAATAACTCTTTATCTTTGCAATGAAAATTTAGTTTATCATAGTAATACAATCCATTCACCCGCCCTACTTATTAGTGTAGTTACCTAAGATCTAACAATATTTGGATGGATTTGATTTATTGTATTATTACATTATTTATATTATTTATAATAAATGAAGTCTTTCTATTAATTCTTGTCATTTATATTTATTGATTGAATAGAATTAGATAGAAGTCTATATGATATGCATTTACACTAGTAATTGATCGAAAGATGTGAGACAAATACTAATAGATATAAATGATATCATTAAATATCCCAAGTTGTATAATTGTTAAGAATGAACATTGACTATATACGGTTAGACTTGTTAGTGTTGTGCTCATGCTATATGATAACGATAGAAGATCTTACACCCATTGACATGATGATGTCAAAACAAGCATTTAGGTGATTTATGTTATAGAACATATTACTTGGACTTGACTCACCATGAGAACCCATTTGATTTAGTCTATGGAAATCTCATACGAGATGGATACAACTTGTCATTTGACTTGAAGTCATCATGATTATCTCATTAGAGGATTTATGCACTAGAAATCTAATGGAGGTAGATGGATGACTAAGATAGGATATGTCATTTCTTGTATGCTAAAGAAATTATCACATTGTGCTTCAATGAATGTTTGCTCCAAGAAATCTATGACCATAGTAGGAATACACTAATATAATATAATTGGTTTACTCTAAGAACTAAGATATTTGAGAATTAAAGAAAACTTGTATGATCATAATTGAACAAAACTTATAACTAAGTTCAAGATCATACTCGTGATAAGTTGATATGAGGATTAAATTTTTTGATAAACATAATCGTGAAAGGTAATAACAAATTAATTAATCCTTCTAGAGAATTGAGTAGTTATGATGCATTTCTAGAGGCTAATCTTAACTTATATATCAAGAGATAAAAGAAGTGTCTTTTGTTTTTAATACATTGCCAATATATCTAGGAACTTATTAAGTTGCACGCATAAGTTTAAGTATTCGCATGATTAAAAAGAAGCAAAGATATTGGAAAAAGTTTTTAATTTTAAAAGTTTCTGTTTTAGTAAAGGTTTTTGAAAATAAAAGTTTCTTATTTTAGAAATCAGTTTCCTAATTTGAAAGTTAGCTTTAAATTTAGAAGTAAATAACCTAAAATGAAAATAGGTTTCGTAATTTTGGTTGAAGGTAATTTTAGAAAATTGTTTCCTAATATGGGCCACCTAAAATTATTAATTTAATTTATTTAGATAGTTTAAATTAATTAATTAGGCCAAAATGATTTCGAGCTATTGGGTTTAATTACAAATCTAAAAGATAATTTGGTGGGAGAATAAACATGAACCTTATTGGATAAGAATGAATGTTTTATAAATAAAGATCAAAAGCTCACATATTGAATAACTTCTAATCCTTGAAGGATTAGGGAGCAACAACTAAGAGTCCAATTAGGACTAAGTAACTACCCCCTCTCCTTATCCTTGGAGGATGAGGAAACTCTCTCCCTATAAATAAGAGGAGGGATGCGGCAATAATCGAAGCTCTTTGGAGAGAGAAAATTCGACAAAAACAAAAAGGAACTAGAGCACACGGCCAAGAAAAATAACAAGGAGAAAATTGTTTTCTCCCTAACCCTAAGCACGCCACCTTCTCTCTCTTTTGTTGGGTTGTCGCAAAATTATCCGAATTAGATTTCTATAGGAAACACTAAACAAATCGGAAAAGGTGGAGCTTATATTCTACCATTTTTTAGTGCTTTTTGTGGTTGTTTGGATCGTGTGGATAATCAATAGAGGACGTAAATTTGGATGGCTCATTTCTTTGCTAAGGAATTTAAATCTACGTTATAAGAGATAATTCTCTATTCATCATTTTAATTCATGAATGCATGGTTAGTTGATTCAACGATATGATCTTTGGCCTTTTAGATGGAGGAAATTTTTATTTTATTTTGCACCTTCATAGGATGCATGATCCTTCACTACTAACTACTAACGTTAACTTCTCAAGACCTAGTAATTGTCGTTTAAAAAAAAGCATAAATAAAACCCAAAAATATGCTACTAAAAAAAGGAAAAATAAAAAATGACATGAAGAAATCAATTGATTATCATCATTTCAAGGTGAATTCACTTGCAAATCACATAGATAAACATCAACATAACCTCATACATCTCCCACCAACATTCAATACATGAAACAAATTTAATCTCTTATAATTAGCATTTGGCCAAAACATCTTTAACTTTAATACCCATAACTAAACCTCAATTAAGCACTTACACACATCAATTTCATATAATTCATATCTTATGATGAGATTAAGAAGAACTTATACTAACTAATTCATCAATTAAGAGTGTCGCTACCCAATTTTGGACGGGACTCTAGAAAAAATTTAAGATTTATTTATTTTTTGAATTATTTATAATTTCTTCTAGTGGATGAGAGTTATTATTGATTTTGGAAGTCGCTACCTAGTATCGAAGGAACTAGGAATCTAAAAAAGGCATTGATTCGGAGATTTTAGGGTAATGAGTTGATTATATTTTTTAGAAGATGTTAATCATCCAAAAATGTCATTTTATAAGAAAGCTAAATAGTCCTAAAATTTATCTCCCGAGCAAAAATTTTATTTTTGCCAAAATTAATCATTATCAAATTTTCATTTTTTTTATGCTAACCTAAGTTTTTTATCCGTGT